AGCCCAATCCAGTTTTATTTAAAATTATTGACATTGGGATGATGATGATGATTTCACATGTATTGTAATTTGTCCTCTGTTTTTATCTCCAAACCTACTTTGGGCTGAATTGTAGGCTTAAAATTATTGACATTGGGATGATGATGACGATTTCACATGTATTGTAATTCGTCCTCTGTTTTTATCTCCAAAGGGTCAAAGGTCACTTGAGCTTCATGAAAGAGGATTTATCTTCATAATCCTAGTCTCCCTGTCTAGGTAATGCACAGGTCCCACAATCTCTCTCAGGCACTACAACTTTGCACGAATTTGGCAGTAGCCAATCAAAGTTGTTTTTTAAATTTGAAATACAGATTATCACTGCAGGTGGGGTATCCATATGTTCCACTTAACAGAGGACTAGTCTCTGTTTTCAGACAGCTTTTATTTCAAGAACAGTGGGCAAATTGTGGCCCGCTGTACGTTCCAAGGTAGCAGCTCCCATAAACCATCACCACTAGGTATGCTGGCTACTGTTGCCTATAGCTGGTGGCTACAACTGGTGGCAGATACAGTCCAATAACATCTTGTTTTCTCATTCTCTACTAATACTGTTCAATTACTCTCTATCCTATGCATAATTCTCATAAATTGAACCATCGGTAGCTGCCCTATACGCTTTAGGAAGCTATCACATCTGAAATTTACAGAGACAAGTTTCATATCATTCCAATTTCTTTCCAATATTTCAGTGGAGACAATGTACAAATTCAGATAAATCAAGATGCAAAGGAACCAATGACATACATGTATGTGTGCCTTGCTGCTTTATTGTAATCATTGCCGTGTGAAATATCAGCATAAGGTATTTAAGGTCCATTTATACTTTCTTTGGGAGACAGAAACAGTCTAATTTACTCTAGTGGGTGACTTGTACAGAAAAGGATGAGGCGATGCAAGTCCATTAATTTTTCTAGATCTCTCTGTGGTCAGTGCTATTGACCACAGTGTCCTGAGATGCCTGTCAGCACAAGTTCTGGGGGACATTGTTTCTTTCTGGAGGGATCGACCAAAAGGTGGTGCTGGGGACTCCCGTTATACCCCATGACTAGTGGCCTTGGGTTTCTGTTTTGTATAATATATTTTCAGTACCTACTGTAGAAGCTAACAAGTGTGTCCTTCCAGATATTGTCGCAGTGCTGCTCATCAGTGTTACTCAGGATGGTTAGTGGAGTGTTGAGTGATGGCTAGGAGATGTAGGCCAAAAATATTTGGAGGGCCATTCTTGCTTTATAAGAGTCGCCCATTCCTGGTGTTGATAATTTATGGATATGTTATTTTGATACTAACTCAGGTGACCTGTTCAATTTTCTGATACCAAAATTCATACAGTAAAAACATTTTTAAGGGTTTCATTGACAGAGAAACACAAGTGTACATCCATATATAGTGACAAAGAAAGATGATGCTGTTTCTAGTAAAATGCTTCCCCAGAGGTGGTTAAAAATAAAGACCAATATCTTTTACCAGTTGTTGTTGAACTGTTGTTGGGCCTCGATGTTGGAAGATGCTCTGTTGAAGAGAAAAAACAATATGAGTGTTAACCATTGTTCTCAACAATCTCTGTCAAAGGACTAATTAACACTCAAGCAATGGGATGGAAGCAGAAGTCATTCTGTTGAAACAGCTGTTGGAACATTTGGTCATGTCTTCCTTTGATGGTTTATTGATGAACCCTCCCTGTTTTAATCCAACAAATGTTTAGTAATGTTAGGATATCCCAGACACAACTAGAGCCCATTTCTCCATCATATACCAGTAGAGCTCTTTCAGGTGCTTCTGTTTTAAATATGCTTTGAAATTTTGGTAGTTCACAGAATTCTCTCATTAAAATATGAAGAGCTGCCTGTTAGTGGTTTCTGATTTTTCATAATAAAATTGTGGTCATTTTACAAAACCTACAATAATTATTATTGCTATGCATAGCCCAGCTTTTTTCTTCCTGAGTGGTGAGATGTTCCAAGGTTCACAATGCTGCTGTTACCTAGGTTTGGATCCTTCTGAATCACCAAAGCATGGTCATACCGTGTTCCCCCCAAAATAAGACGGGGTTTTATATTACTTTTTTTGCTCCAAAAATGCATTATGGCTTATTTTCAGGGGATGTTTACTTTTTTCATGTACAACAATCTACATTTATTCAAATACAGGCATGTCATCTTCTTCTGGTTGCTGCACAATGATGGAAGGTGGGGTTTCACTTAACTGGGGCTTATTTTTGAGGTAGGGCTTATATTACGAGCATCCTGAATAATCATACTAGGGCTTATTTTCAGGTTAGGTCTTATTTTCAGGGAAACAGGGTAGTTGTATTTATTTGCAAGTGCAAATAAAGATTGAACAATGGGTAGTCCACATCAACTCGAACAGCAAGCAGAGCTTCAGAAGAAGGGATCTTTATATGTGTTCATTATTTTAGTTCATTAGCCCACAGCGCCACCACATCCCAATGGGTAGTCCACATCAACTCCAACAGCATGCAGAGCTTCAGAAGGAGGGATCTTTGTATGTGTTCATTATTTTAGTTCACAGTCGCCCAAACACAGTCTGTTTCTGTCTCTTACTTATGGGGCACATACTATTGGACTCTGCTACTCTTGAGGATCCCCAGTGGTGTAGTGGATAAGTGATGAATCAGTTTCCATGGCTGATTTGGGATTCAAACCCTATTCTCCAGAGTGGTTTACTATTCGCTTCTTCTGTGAGTTCTGTTGGACTGTGCAGCTTGCCCATGACTAAACAAGCTGGCTCTTCTCCAATCAGGAATTGAATTCTCAACTTCTGGCTCAATAGCCAGATAGCTAAACCACTCAGCTATCCAGCCAGCTGATCATAAAGAATGTAAATAATAGGTTTGTTGTTAGTAGCTTTGCTCATTTTTTTTCTACCATGAGCATTTGCACCCAGCACAACACATATAATTTATTTCCTGGAAACATCGAATAAAGACTAGTAGGCACTGATTGCTTTATCCATAAATTAATTCCATTTTGAAGCCATCCAAACCTACAGGAGTAGGCCCATTGACTCAAATGGGATTGGCATAAAGGTTGATCCATTATTCAGTAGTTGAAACCATTGGTTATAGATGGGACTATCTATAGATAGCAATTCCATTTTAAATTAATTTGGCAATCATCCCTACATCTTTTACTAGCAAGTTCCATAGATTAGGAATGCATTGATTGAAAAACTATTTCCTTTCATGTGTCCAAAATTTTCCTGACATTTAATTACTTTGGGTTTCTAGGTTCCAGTTTTATAGGGCAAAAAGTGTTCCTATTCGTTTTCTGAGTTTAAGGTTAAACCTGTAGGAGAGATTTGGTTTGTAGCAAGTACATTTTAGAATGATATCAGTTTATACAAACAGGAATGGCTTGTTGCTTCTTTATGAAATATGTATTTTTAAATTATTTTTCTTTTTAAAGCAACAACAGGAATTAGGTGTTTCTCTAACTAGATATTTATTCCTCAACCTGCACAAGATAACATAACTATGGAGCTAAAAACAGCGGTACTATATAGTAAAACTTAGAATAATGTATTTCCAGTAAATCTAGTTAAGTGGCCTGCACTCAGTACATTGATTTCACTGTGCAAAAGGACAGCTCACTGGGAACAGCTTAATTATATGGCAGTTGTAGTGTGAAAGGTAAATTATAGCAGAGAGCCCAGACACAGGAAAAGTCTGTTGACAATGATGGTAGGTCTGAATTTGTGAATGCAATGTGTGAAGTAAAATTGTGATCCTTACTTCAGAAAATATTTAATGGAGCAGGAGATGATGTTTAAGGATGTAGCACGGGCAGACCAAATGGTGTGACTTCAGAAACACATTTTTCCTCACTGAATAGATGTATAGGCTGGTGTGTATCTGCAGAAGCAGCTTAAGGGATTTCAGAAACCACATTCTCTGTTGGTTATGTGTAACAATCCTGGTAGAAGACCATGTAAATATGTTTCATCCTGGGTTATACCTTGGGAGTGGAGAGAGGAGCATGGAGGCCCAGCCTGCCCGCCCAAACATTCCTGTAATCCCCTATCTCAAAACAGGAAGAGAACGGATATAGATAGCATTGGGTTGTGTTTGCAATGACGACATGCCTACTTATTTCCCGGTGGAGGGTATGGTAACAATATTAATAATAGCCAATATGCTGTTGTGGATTTTCACACACACACGTGCACAAGTGTTTGTACTACTTAGCAAGGTGTTTCTTTCCTCATGCTGATATTTGCTTCAGTAGCCTATTGAAATAGTTAAGAACTTGGTATACCACGGTTCAATTATCAGTCCAAATGGAGACTGCAATCAAGAAGTCAGAAGAAGATTGAGACTTGAAAGGGCAGTAATAAAGGAGCTAGAAAAGATCATCAAGTGTAAAGGATGTGTCACTGGAGAACCAAACTAAGATTATCCACACTATCATATTTTTAATCACCATGTCTGAGTGTGAAAGCTTGACAGGAAAAAAAAAACCTGATTCATTTGAGACATGGTGCTGGAAGAGAGCTTGGTGGACACCCTGGACTGCCAAAAAGACAAACAAGTGGGTCCTAGAGCAAATCAAGCCTGAACTCTCTCTGGAGGCAAAAATGTTGAAAACTGAGGTTATCCTCCTTTGGGCACGTCATGGGAAGACAGAAATCTCTGAAAAAGACAACAACGCTGGGAAAGGTAGAAGGCAGCAGGGAAAGAGGAAGACTAAATACAAGATGGATTGACTCTCCAAAGGAACCCCCAGACTTGATTTTGAAAAAAGTTGAGTAGGGCTGTAGAGGACAGGACATTCTGGAGACTGCTTTTTCATGGGGTCACCATAAGTCCAGGACAACTTTATGGCACATAACAACAGCAATAGCCTATTGGTTGTCAAGTCTGTGCTTTAATTAGGCTGTTGTGCTTGATATGGCTGTATATTGTACTACATAATATAACAGAAAGGGTGGTGTAATGTGTTGGCAAGGGTGATGGGTAAATGAATAGACCACACTTGCACAGAATTCATGGCTTAAGATAACAGAATCCCAATTCCTTACAAACCACACATTTACTTCACATCTCAGAATGCAGGTCTAGCAATACCATGACACAGACTGAGGCTGCCACATAAGGCCACGGATGCTGAGGGATATACTGTAGAAAAAATAGAGCTTTGTGTGCAATGGAACCTGATTTACAGCGCCCTAATCTACTTACTATCCCGGGATGCACTGAAATATGCTGTGTTATCAGTGCTGAAGTAACATTCAAATACGCGAGAAGATACTGTGTTGTTAACTAGTGCTGAAATAAGATTCACCTCCCAGTGTATCCAGCTTTTGCCATGGAATGAGTGAAGTGCTATCTTGAATTTTGTCTCTGGTTGAAAAATGTTTGGGTGATGCCTGAAAAGGGGATGTCATATTTTACAGGTCTCTGAGATTTGTTTGTTTTAATGTAAAGTCTCTCTCTCCTGATATCACAAGGATAAAAAAATCTACCATTTTGAAATTGTTTTGTCAGAATCCTCTTAGCAGGCCAGTAAGCACTTCCACAAATAGATCTTTCATTATGACAGCCACAACTGATTCTGTGCACAGAAAAACTGTGCCCATTGTAACTGCTTCTCATTTAGCAGAATCATGGTAGAAATAGTATTTCCGTTCCTTCTCATATTTGTTACTCTGCAATTGCAATTAAGAAGATTAATTAAGAGGAGAGGACACCACTCATGCATCAAAACAGATTTTTATTATAATCTGTCCAATTGCATGCCAAGGAAATTATAAGAGTTTGAACTTATTGGTCAAAATAGTTTTCCATAACTTACACCTGTGAAGGGTGATGATGTCACTGGCAGGGTGCAATATTTGGTGATTAAAAATGTCTTATTTCTGTCCTTGGGCTTTTCTGACTCCCATATAATCCCTTTCATCACATAAAAGCCATGAGACTGAAGCAGGAAAAAAAAATTCCCCTGCAGAAACTGGAGATGGCAATGTTTAGTAATTAAAGACTTCCTCCCTCTGTCCTGTAGCTCTAAAGGCTTCAATAGGACGAAAGGGATTACGCAGAAGTTGGAAAAGTCATGTGATAATGTAGGAAATGTTAATTACCAAAAATTGTCCCTGCTACTGACATCATCATCTTTTCCTCAGGCATAAGTTACACAACAAGATTTCACCTATGTCATTAATGTAATCTGAGTAAGGATCAAATATATATTACATTAAAGACACAGAAATGCAGCTGCCCCTGCATATGTAAACACTCTCAAGTAGGGCTATTAGGGCTTCTCCAGGATGAAATCTCTTAAATTTTGAGGCTGGTGCTCCATATCTTTGATCCGAACATTGTGACCAGCCTAAATGCCTGCATCTATCAGTTTTCTTGCAAGCCCCTTCCCTTTACTTCTGGATTTTTTGGCACACAAATGTGGCACAAGCACAACACACAACCACTTTCATGTAGAGCTAGTGGGCCCTGGCACCAGGTACAAATGGGTGGAGATGAATGCCAAGGCTTTAAA